CGGGGGGCGGGGGGGCCGGGGAGGGCGACGGAGTCTGGGTCGCCGAGAAGGGCCTGCGTGCACCTGTGCTGCGTGCACCTGTGCTGCGTGCACCTGTGCTGCGTGCACCTGTGCGTGGCATACGAGGGTGTGCGCATTGGGGGCAGGGGCTGACCCTTAGGACCAGCGAGCTGGATGTGAACCGAGCTGGATGTGAAGCCTTGGGCAGAAGCTTGGACGAGTGTCGTGTGGGTCGTGGTTAAAAAGCCCTTCTGCAGGGTCACACCGGAATTTCCCCCAGACGCGTGCGCACGTGAATTAATCCATCAGAAGGCGGTTCACGGCCGAGGGAACGGGGCTTGGGGGCGGCAAATCGCCTCACACCGACCGGGAGGACCCCAGGTGGGTGACAGGAAGACGCAGCAGGGGGCGGGCGGGCAGGGTCGCCTCCCCCCAGGCCTCCCTGGGCTCCCTCTTCCTCGGCCCCAGGGAGACCCGCGGGGGTGGGGCGCGTCCCCGGAAGGCCCCTGAGGTCCCCCGGGCGGAGCGGCTGGGCCTGCGCCCTGGTCCTTGCACTTGGTCTCTGCTGCAGCACTAAGGCCCCGGGAGCCGCCTGACTCACCCGCCAGCTAATTGCTGCGTTTAAATGACTTTGAGCTGGATTCGGTGGCTGCAGCCAGCGAGGGCGCTCTGGGGTGGAGGCGGGGTGGGGTGTGTGCAGGGGAGCGTTGAGAACGCACCTGCGTTACTGTCACCCACCTTAGCAAGTTCTGCTCTGTGCAGACGTCACCCAGCGCGTGCAGCTGCGCGCCCCTAAAGGGCACAGGTGTCCCCTGGGCCCGGTGAGCGGGCGCAGAAGACCCCAGAGACCCCGCGTCTGCAGAAGGTATGTGGGCGCCACATGCTCAGGGCCGCGCGCGCAGGGGACCCTCGCCCACGTCTCCCGGACACCGTCCGCCCAGCGTGAACACGCGTGAAGGCAACTGCGACAGCTGCGAGGACAGCGAGCGTGTTCCTCTATATTTTTAGCAGCGATTGCAGATTTGAGAGCATCAGCGGGACGGCGCTGCGCCCCGTGCGTGGTGACCGGCCCGTGAGGTGGGGACGGGGACCCTGCCCTCGCGTTCGTGGCGCACAGGTCTTAGAAGGGCGGCGTGTGATTGGGCTTGTATGATAACCGTGGCACCCACGCGCGAGCGGAGCTGCCATGCGCCGACTGCCAATGATTCTTCGGTTTCCAGGGAAACGAGGGTTTCGGCCGCCTCTCCCGTGCGGTGACGCCGCAGCCAGATTGACGGGCTTCGGGGGAGGAAGTGAGTGACGTCGCTCCTCCCCCCGCCCTTGGAGGGCCGGGCTGTGCCCTCCTAGGCCCGGGAAGACCGAGCTGGGCAGGGCTGTGCGGGCAGCGGCTGGCACCAGAAGTCCCGGAGGAAGCATTTCCCCTTCGTCCGCCTCCAGCTTGTCCCTGCCCCGCACTGGACACTTCCATGCCCCTTCACCTGCCTCTTCCTGCCACAAGGCCTGTGCACACGCTGTCCCCTCTTCCTGGGGTATGTTCCCTCCCCACGTCCTCACCTGGCATCTGGCTTCTCATTTCCCAGATCTTAGCTTCACCTCCCTTAGTAGTGACTCAGTTTCCTTGGGTGCCTTCTGTCACCTAGACGCTATACCGAGTGCTTTCCATGACTTTTTTTTTTTTTTTTTTTTTTTTTTTTTTTTTTTTTTT